GCAGTTTCCTTTAGTAAAAAAGCTGGTGTTAACAGCTGTCTGTTCCAGTCGGGCTACCCCTGTCTCAAATATTTAGGTCTTAGTCGAACAGGCTCTGCCTACTTATCGTTCCCTTGAACGGAAGCTTGCAAGTGCAAGGAGAGAGAGTTCACCGTCTCAAATCCAAAGCTCAAAGGTTTTTCTTTCAAGGCTGGTCGGCCAAACCCAACAACTGTGCAGAATCACAGCAGTGCAGCTTGCCCCAGGGGCAGTCCTGGCATACTGAGGCAGGCAGGCACACAGCCACGCTGCTCAGAGACTAGCTGTGGCCTCTCCACGCCTTAGGTCCAGCAACTATCTCCATTGGCTGGAACCAGCCTTTCTAAACCTCTGCATAATGAGATCTCACAAGTATTCACAGCAGCCCAGGGCACTGCAGCTCCAGGTCAGAGACCCTGCGGCCTTCTGCCTTCTGAAAGCAGGAAGGAGTGCCTCTCTAGCCCTGCCCCAGGCCCAGTGGCAGCAGTCATTTTCATATCAACACCTGTTTCTCCATGTGAAAGGGCCAGGCTATTATTGTCACTTAAGAACTCAACTGAATATAATTTGGGAGGGGGAGGGATACCAGGCCCTGGGAGTCCCCAGCATCTCTGCTAGGGACGGGATGGGTGCTGTCTTGAGAGGGGACTCAATTTTTAAAAAAAATATTTATGTTTATGTATGTATCTGTGAGTACACATGTGTGCAGGTGCTGACACAGGCCAGAAGAGGGTGTCAGATCCCCTGGAGTTACAGGAAGTTGAGAGCCTCCCCACATCACTTGGGTGCCAGGAATGGAACTCTAGTCATCTATCTGTAAGATCAACAAGCATTCTTGTAGACCAGGATGGCCTCGAACTCACAAAGATCAGCCTGCCTCTGCCTCCGGAGTGCTGGGAGTAAAGTTGTGCGCAACCACTGCCCCGCCTGGCAACAGCAATCTTGACACTGAGAAATCCCTCCAGCCCCAGCGCCAAGGTTGGTGCCCCCCCCCCAGCTCTTTGAGTTTGACATTTTCTACCTGTTTTGATCATATTCAACCATCCTCCACCCCATTCCTTACCCACCCCAAATTGTGTCTTCCAGGACCAATTTGTGTTGTCCAAATATAAATATTCTTGGGCATGTAGTCTTCCACTAGTCAACTTGACGGGTGATATACCCTTAGAGGAAAGGGTCTCTCCTCTCAGCAGTTAACAGTTCCATTTGCTCCATGGCTAGGGGTGGGGTCAGTAAATATGCTTGTTCAGGGTAGGCTCTGTGCTATCTCAGGGGCTAAGGAAATAAGGCAACTCTTGCTGTGGTATGGAGACAGAATGTTCTCCAGTTGTCCTCAGGGAAGGCTTTAGGAGGTGGAGCCTGGTGGTCCTTATGTCCTTGGGACATGCCTTTGAAGGGACTCCATGACCCTTTTCTTTTCCTCCTTTGTTTCCTGGCCTGTAAGTAAGCTGTTGACAGTGCTACAAGCTCCCCACCATTGCCATTCAGTATGCTCCCCAGAGGCCCAAAGCCATGGGCTCACCTGGACACAAACCGGAAACTCCCAAACTGTGAGCCAAGACAAACTGTCTTCTTTTTCTTTTAACACCCTTCTCAAGTCCTTTAAGCTATGCCTCACAACGGACCTTCCAGTCCTCCCCACTTGCAGACACCCTGGGGCAAGTCACCATGAGCCGGCAGTTTTAGCAGTCTTCCAAATGCGGTCCATTTCCGCTGTGCCCCTTCCCCAGTCCCAGACAGGCTGCAGGAAGCCGCTCTGCTGGAGAAGGGAGAGCTCAGGCTAGTGAGCTTCCACAGCACCTCCTACTTCCCACAGCTCCTCCTACTTTCCACAGCCTCAGCTCACAGCGCTCTTGCCTCCTGCTAGTTTCTCACATACTCTTCTCCTTAGGACTTGGTGTCTCACCTCTCAGCCTCTTCTCCATCTCTAGTTCAAATCACATCTTTCCAAACTCTCTACTTTTCCACACTGGTGTCAGTGTATGCATTCCTATGTCTCAAGACAAACCTATTTTTTTCTTTGTAAGTGAATAAGCTGGGTTATTTTCTTATTACCACGGAAAGCTATCACAACCCTATGCTTGGATTGCTGTGAAAACAACTACTAAAGAACGATGACTGAGAAGAGACATGACATATGAATGTCTTTATCAAACAAATGATGTGAATTTCCAGGTGTCTTGGAGGTTTGTTTCTAATGAGCATGGCTCATAGTTTGAATTGTCCTTTTTTAAAGTTATTTTTATTTCTAATTATGTGCACACATCTGTGTCTGTATGGGAGTATATACACGTGAATGTAGGTGCCTGCAGAGGTCAGGGATGTTCGAGTCCCTGGAACTGGAGTAAAAGCTGTGAGCCACCTGATGTGGGTATGCTAGGGACTGAACTCAGGTCCTCTGGAAGTGCAGTGCATACTGAGCTGTCCCTTCCACCCCTTGATTTGTTCTTATGCTGATTTACATTTTCAGACAGTTCCAGCTAAGACAGGTTCATGATCATACACAGAGGAGGAAACTGGCTGAGTGATCAGAAATATTCACCCAAGCTGGCATGGTAGCCAGATCAGCCAGAGGATCTGAGGGGAAGGTGGGGATTACTGCATGCTGAGGCTGAGGCTGTTTGCAGAGATACCACCTGGTTTTCACTGGTTGAATCTAACTGGTGAGCTTTGTAGGGGCTGATGGAATTCTCACCATGTGACAAACCACCCCACAGGTCTTCCTTGGTTCGTCTGGGCAAAACCATTACTTGTTCCAGCTAGGGCAAACCATGGCATTACTCATTTGGCTTGCTCTAGTCTTGGTTTAAATTTCTCTCATTTGCACAAACAGACCACTGGATATAGATGAAGCCAATGGTCCAATATTGGTCTCAGGTATTTTTGCCAGCCTCACAAATGGGGATGTGTTGCCCCCAGTGTCTCTCAGCTTATTGTTACCTCTCAGTTATGAATCTGATAAATTTTCTTGAGTGTCCTCTGCTCTCATTCTGCTTTGAAAAAGTAGGGGATGGGACAGGGTAGATATTTGGTAAAGTGCCTCTCTTGGCGACATGAGGATCTGAGTTTGTCCTCGGGGGTGTAGGGTACATTACTTGCCTAGTGAATGCAAGGCTCTGAGTTTGATCCCAGAAACTCACATGTGTACACACACACACACACACACACACACACACACACACAATCACACACACACTCTACTTATACGGTGTCTTGAAGAACTGGATTGGTTCACTTGATAGCTTAAAGTGTGAACCTACCCTTTTAAATTTACCCGTGCAAATTCCTCGTTGATATTTCAAGGGCTGCTCCTGGTCTAGCCATCTCAGAGTTGATGAGGAAGTCTTTGTTCACGTTCCCTATGACCTTCAAGTCTATACTGACTTTGATTCTATCACCTCCCTGCCTTTATCTTCCCACACTGAAGCCCTCAAGGAACAGAGGAGGGCAGCCTCTTGTGAAAGATGCTCTCTGGAGTGATTAAATGTTGCTTAGCCTTCTACAGCCTTGAGATATTTTTCTGCAGAGGAAGGGCATAAACTGTCAGGCCTGGATCACAGCCTGGGAAGAACATTCTGTTTTGGCTTGGTGTCCAGGACCATTTCTGATAAAACGTTAAGCAGTTTCTGAATATCCAGCCCTGCATGGCCTTTAGCTAACAAACATCCTACAGAGACCCTCAAAAATCCCCTTGTGTGACTGTAAAGGGCCTGGGCTCTAGTCTGTTTACTCGTCATTTGGATTACATTATTGTAAATGCCTTAATTCGGGCATGTGCCTGAAAAGCTGTATTTGTGCTTTTC